AGTGAGGTGACACCAGTTTAACCAGTGAGCTGACACCAGTTTAACCAGTGAGCTGACACCAGTTTGACCCTCGAGCTGGAGCTCACGTGTGGCACTGGGATTGTTTTGCTGGGATTATTTTACTGGGATGGTTTTGCTGGGATTGTTCCTGAATGGGGACTCAGAGCAGTCCTGGAGTAGCTTTACTGTTCCATGTAATCAGAGGTGCCTCCAGAGTTTTTGGGGAATTTGGGAAGTTTGTGTTGTCTCAGGGCAGTTTGGGGTCTCAAGGAGTTTTCCTCCCTTGGGTCTGGCATCTCAGCTCCTTCACCAAAGGAATTCCTTCCCAATATCCCACCTAACCCTGCCCTGGCAATTTGAATCCATTCCCCCTTGTCCTGTCCCTCCATCCCTTGTCCCCAGTCCCTCTCCAGCTCCTGGAGCCCCTTTAGGCCCTGGAAGGGGCTCTCAGGTCTCCCTGGATCTCTCCCTTCTCCAGGTGAACCCCCCCAACTCTCCCAGCCTGGCTCCATCCTTGATATTCCTTAGGCATAAAATGTTAGGAAAAGGTATAAGAACTGCTGGTCTGTTCCCAGAGCTGTGAGCTGGAGAAGGGAAGGTTTAGGTGGGAAATTGAGAAGGAATTCTTCCCTGTGATGGCAGTGAGGGGCTGGGCTGGAATTCCAAGAGAAGCTGTGGCTGCCCCTGGATCCCTGGGAGTATCCAAGGCCAGGTTGGAGCACCCTGGGCTAGTGGGATGATTTTAATCTCCCTTCCACCGCAGACTATTCCATGATTCCATAACACAAGTTTGGCTTTGTTGGAATTCTGCCAGTGCTGGTTTTCCTTTGGGCTCTCCGGGCACATCCCTTCCCATCCCATGCCAGCCCATGCCCGTGGTGCCAACAGGATCCTGAGTGTCCCTGTTCCAGCCCCTGCTGTCTCATGCTTTGCTCCTTATCTGCCCCCCCCAGAGCTCCAGCTCAGCATAATCGTCCTGTCAATGGTATTTTTTTTTATCTTGGTTGAAGGAGAAGGTGCTGCCCAAGGCCTTGTCTGGCTTTCCAGCCTGGAATGAGCCTGGTTTGTCACTGCCAGTATTAAAATGTCCCAAAAATTCAACATTTTTTGCACCTGGAATGCGGGATCTGGGCAGCTCAGCTGCTCTGCTCAATGCTAAGAGTTGAGTTAAGGCACAAAAGGGAGTCAGACATTCCCAAAAATTGCATGTGAAAGGTTTTCCATCGGAGAAATTTATTTCTTGGATTACGGTTCTCACGAATTTGGGGAAGGTTTTTTTGTTTGTTGGGTTTTTTTGGTGGATATTTGAGCACATTAAAATAAGAAAATAAAATTACCATTTACAGGCAGGAAATACTGGATGAGGACTCCCAGGTTTGGGATTCAGAGTCGCCCTCCTGGGCTTTGGTGCTTCTCCTCGTGTCCTTAAATGCCCCCCATCCCCTCAGAGCTCCACATCCAGGGATCCTGTGAGGAGGAGGATCAAGGATTCCCTGGGACAGCTGACACTGCACAGTCAGAAGCACTGAAAATATGTTTAAATCCTGGTTGGATTCAACTTTCTGGCTTTTCCACACGAGGGATTTTTTTCGGGAATTCTGTGCTTTAGTGCCCACGGTGTCATTCCTCTGCGTGCCTGGTCTCCAGCTGGCACACGGGCTGTTCCCTTGGATTTTGGGAGCTGTTTCCTCGTGCCCTGTTCCCTCTGGCTCCGAGGGAGTTAACTGGGATCTGCAGGAAGGCTGGCACGGATCAGGCACTGGCACAAACAAGGGGGTTTTGTCACAGCCACTGTCACACAAAAGCAGCCACCGAGGCCCCGGAGTCGCAGGGAATTGCGTTGGGAGGTGGGAACAAAACTCCAGGGAAAGCCCTTCCCTGGCTCCCCCCAGGAATTAGTGCACAGGGGTGGAAAATTGTTAAAAACTCGGGACCTGTTTTTTTTTTTAAACAGAGTTTTAGTGTGTTGTGGGCTGTGGTTCCTTGTTGTCCTGCCAGGCTGGTGGAGCTGCTTCCCAAGGATTTGTGTCCAGGGGAGGGAATGGAGTGGGGAAGGGCTGGAGTGGCTGAGGGAGCTGGGGGGGCTCAGCCTGGAGAAAAGGAGGCTCAGGGGGGACCTTCTGGCTCTGCAACCCCCTGACAGGAGGGGGGAGCTGCCAGGGAACAAGGGACAGGAGAGGGAACGGCCTCAAGCTGTGCCAGGGGAGGATTAGGTTGGATATTGGGGAAATTCCTTCCTGGAAAGGGTTGGTTAAACATTGGAACTGCCCAGGGAGGTTTGGAGTCCCCAGCCCTGGAGGTGCCCAGGGGAGGCCTGGCCGTGGCACTCAGTGGACGAGGTGGGGATGGGGCACAGGGTGGATCCATGGGCTGGGAGGGCTTTTCCAGCCTCAGTGATTCCATGATTCCACACACATGGACAGAAGGGCCGTGGTTGCTTCTCGAGCTGATAAATGACTGGCAGGATTTTCGAGGTTTGGAGGAAACCGTGTTTTGTCCTTGGGATGAACCACGGCCCCCTGGAATGGTTTGGGTTGGAAGGGACCTTAAATCCCCTCCCATTCCAACAGGGACACCTCTCCCAGGGAAGATGATCCACACAAACACCTTCCTGCAGGGGAGGCTTTGCCAAGTGATTTTTAAACAAGTGGCAGTGGCTCTGTGATGGGAGCAGCGGGAGCTGGGAAAAGCTGAACTGGAGTCCGGGTGCTTCCAGTGGTTTATTGTCCGTGGTTTATATTCATGGGAGATTTTGGGGGATTGTCTGTGTGGGGTTTGAGTCTTTGGGGTTTGCTTTGCTCAGAAACCCTGTCGAGGTGCTCTCTGGCACTTGGCAAAGTTTTCTCTCATTGCTCTAAAGTAGTGGAGCAATATTTTCCATGAGATTCTTTTAAAAAAAAATTAGAATTAGAGCTCTGGAATACGGTACAAAGTAAGAGCATTGTTGCACAGGGTCCCTCTCTGTGTTTCTTTTCCTCTGGTGATGATTCTGGCAGCAGAAATCCCCCCCTTGGTGTGGTTTTGGCCTGGAATTGCTGTGCTGTGTCGGGAAAGCAACTCGGCTGTGCCCTGATGGGAACACGGATCCACCGGCTGATCCCAGCCGGGACTTGGATTTGCAGAACAGCCTCTCCTCCAAAAATGAAGGAGACAGTGGTTGTTATCCTTGTTTTTATAACAGCACAAAAGGACGCTGTGCTGGTCCCACTTCACCCTGGAATCCTCCGGCGTGTGCAGGTGACAAATCCAGCGGCACAAACCCCGGGAATGTTTCTCTCCCGGTTCCAGATCCAGCGGCACAAACCCCTGGGAATGTTTTTCTCTCTGTCTGCAAAGGCACTTTTTTTTTTTTTAAATGAGGACACCTCAGATTTCACTGGGGGAAACCCATCTGCCCGGATCAGAGCTCGGGGTGGATCTTTTCCAGCTGTCTGAACACAGAGAATCTGCCAAGGGGGGGGTTTAATTTCCCTTCCCGTGGTTCGGGGACTTCCATGATTCCATGAAGTCCGGGGAACGATGTTTGGGAGGGATTTGGCACTGTCTGACTTGAGATGCTTGTGAGAGGGTTTTTTTTTGGCTATTAAAATGTGCAGATTAGGATTATCATCTAAGGAGATGATAATCATCTAAGGAGATCCCACCTGGATCGCTGTGTCCAGTTCTGGTGCTCCCAACGTCAAAAGGATGTGGATCTGTTGGAGTGAATCCACAGGAGGCCACAAACTTCTCAGGGGACTGGAGCACTTCTGCTCTGGAGGTGCAGGGAGAGCTGGGGGTGTTCACCTGGAGAAGAGAAGGATCCAGGGACACCTTAGAACCCCTTCCAGGAGAGCTGGAGAGGGACTGGGGGCAAGGGATGGAGGGACAGGACACAGGGAATGGCTTCCCACTGCCAGAGGGCAGGGATAGGTGGGATACTGGGGAGAAATTCCTCCCTGTGAGGGTGGGGAGGGCTGGAATGGAATTCCCAGAGAAGCTGTGGCTACCCCTGGATCCCTGGAGGTGTCCAAGGCCAGATTGGAGCAACCGGGGATAGTGGGAGGTGTCCCTGCCCGTGGCAGGGGGTGGAACAGGATGGGCTTTAAGCTCCCTTCCAACCCAGTCCAGTCTGTGATTCCATGGAAAAGGTGAAAATGGGGAGGCCAGGTGGTACTTTGTCAGGTGTGAGAGGTGGTTGGGAAATTCCTGTGCTGGGAGTTCCAGGAGTTCAGCGGAAGAACCAAACTCGGAGCTGAGCATCTTCATCCCTTTGCCGTCAGCAGAGTTAAACACGTTTGTGTGTAATCACACACGCCTGAGGTGCTGCACAACTCACCTGCCCCCCTTCCTGTCCCTAACTGGAGTGTGTCCATGTTTTCCAGAGCCTGGCCCAGCTAGAGAACCTGTGCAAGCAGCTGTATGAGACCACGGACACGGCGACGCGGCTGCAGGCGGAGAAAGCCCTGGTGGAGTTCACCAACAGCCCCGACTGCCTGAGCAAGTGCCAGCTGCTCCTCGAGAGAGGAAGTGTACGTAAAACCCCCCCAAAATCCACCCCAAACCCACCCTGCAGGGGGGCACTGAGGAGGGAAACACCCCCGAGGGCTGGAGCAGGGTGTTCATATTCCATATTCCACACCCGCGCTCCCGGATCTCAATTTGGGAGCCGCTGGTGCCCAAAAAAAAGCTGATTTTGGTGCTGCTGTGGTGGCACTTTAATGCCTCATGGGCCCTGCTGGCTTCTCACAGGCTCCCACCCAGAGCTGCCGGGCTTTAAGTTGGAATCTCAGCCCCGTGGGAGCGAAGGAAATTTTCCCTGTTTCCTTCTCCATAGGGAAAATGGGGTGTGCAGGGAAATTCCGAGGGGGGAAAGCCGGCGGTGCTCCTTCTGGAATGTTGCCTTGGAAATCTGCCCCTGTCATAGTGTTGGCTCGATAATCCAGCAGGTTAAAACAGAGGAAAGAAAAAAAAAAGCAAAGCAGGATCATGTGCTGTGGAATTAGTGTGGCAGAAAGGGTGGGAATGGTGCCGGTGGTAAATCCCACCCAGCTCCCGGAGCTTTCCCCCTGGGAAGTGGCCGCTTGGTTTTCACTTGGAATCAGCATAAATCCCGTTCCAAAGGGCTGTCCCCCATGATCCTTTGGCAGGATGTGCATCCAGCTCTCCTGCTGTCGGATTGGAGCCTTGTCCATAAAGTAGGAAACACTAAACTGTTGGGAAGAGTCGAGTTCTCCGGGAGGAGGGAAAGGAGACGGACGTTAAAGGCTCCACAAACTTCCCCAAAACTTCACTTCTCCTTAAATTTGAAGCCCAGTGGGATCCAAACAAACTTTTGATTGGAAGCTTTTCCAGTGGGAACGAGGAGCTGGTTTACCTCAGGACAAATAATGATATGTATTTGTAAGGAAAGGTCCTGAAGCCCAGTTTAATCCAGAGTGGGATCCGTTGTCCCTCCAAATTTGGGGTTTTTGTTCATTCCGGGATCTGACTCCCTTTGTACCCACAGGCCTTGGGAATATTGGAATAAAGAGCTTTTCTGCATTGATCCCAAGCTTTGTCCAGTCCTATATATTCCAGGCACAATGCCTGTCATTCCCTGGCTGTAATTTAGGGAATGGGATCAGCCAAGGGGGTTTAGGGGCCTGAATTCCATCAATTAAATCAGAGCTGGGTGGTCCTTAAGAAATACATTTTAACCTGGATTTACTAACCCAGAGCAAGCTCTAAGTACTTCTTGATGTATCTTAACACACTCCTGGGATAATTCCAGGCGTGGAATTTTAGGGAACTTCACGGATTTTGACTATTTTTGCTTTCAGTGGTGCTTCCATTGTCTTTTGCTCATTAAGCTTTTCCTTCTTCAAATCTTAATTTGTTTTACTTTAGTGTCTATAAAAACACAGAATAAATACATCTAAATAATGATGATGATGATAATAATAATAATAATAATAATTCTGTGTAGAATATTTAGACCTGCCAGTTAAATGAATGCTTTAAACTCAACTATTCACAGAGGAATTAGCTTAAAACCCATTAAAATCTGTTGCTGCTCGCTCTGAATTGTGCAATAAAATTCTCTCTTGTGTTCTTGGGTTTGTTTTTTCCCTCTTCCCAGTCCTCCTACTCCCAGTTACTGGCAGCCACCTGCCTTACCAAACTGGTGTCACGCACAAACAACCCCCTGCCGCTGGAGCAGCGAATAGATATCCGTAAGTATGGAATTTTTCTCCCCAAATTCCTGGGAATACTCGCCACCTGGCCTTTGATCCATGGCTGGGAGGTTTCCTGCAACCTCCAATTTGGGCATCCTGAGGTTTGGGATGCTCAGAAAGGCAAGGAAAAGTAGGAAGTAACAGAGTTCAAGGCTAAATATCCGGAATTTTTCCGGAGGAAAAGGGATTGCAGCTCTGTGGTGTCGTGGATAAACCACTTGAATGTGACAAATTTCCTTTGGAATGGTAAAAATTGCCTTTTCCTTCGACAGATTTCCTTTGGAATGGTAAAATTTGCCTTTTCTGAGTGTTCAAAACC